AGGAAGGTCCTCTGTCCAATGATTCACTCCCCAAGTGACCACAACGGCCAGTGCTGCACCGATCCGAAGCCAGGAGCCTCCTGCAGGTCTCCCACGCTGGTGCAGGGTCCCAAGGCTTTGGGTCGTCCTCAACTGCTTTCCCAGGCCACAAGCAGGGGACTGGATGGGAAGTGGAGCTACTGGGATTAGAACCAGTGCCCATATAGGACCCCAGTACGTTCAGGGCAAGGACTTTATCTGTTAGGCCATGCCACTGGGCTGTAATTTTTTTTTTTTAATCGCAAAGTCAGATATATAGAGAGAGAGGAGGAGAGAGACAGAGAGGAAGATCTTCCATCTGATAATTCACTCCCCAAGTGACCACAACAGCCGGTGTTGTGCCAATCCAAAGCCAGGATCCAGAAACTTCCTCCAGGTCTCCCATGCGGGTGCAGGGTCCCAAGGCTTTGAGCTGTTCTTGGTTGCTTTCCCATACCATAAGCAGGGAGATTAGAACCGGTGCCCATATGGGATCCCAGAATGTGTAAGGCAAGAACTTTAACTTCTAGGCCAGGCCCTGGTATTTGTTTTTAAAAATGTACTTTCAAGTCTTATAAAAGCATTTTGAGATGTGTGTACTTGCATATTCATGATTACCTCTTTTTATTTTACCTTTTTAAAAGATTTTATTTACTTTTATTTAAAAGTAAGATATACAGAGAGGAAGATCTTCTGTCTACTGGTTCACTCCCCAAGCAGCCACAATGACCAAAGCTGAGCATATCCGAAGCCAGGAGCTCAGAGCCTCCTCCACGTCTGCCACACGGCTGCAGGGTCCCAAGGTCCTGGGCCTTCCTTGACTGCCTCCCCAGGCCACAAGCAGGGAGCTGGATTTTAGTTTTAACATTTGTGTGAAATGGAGATCTTATACCTTCAGGTTCAGTCTACAGCAGCCAGGACTGAACTTGGCCAGTAGTAGGATCCAGCACTCATCCTGGTCTCCTGCGGGTGACAGGGACCCATGGACTTGAGTCATTTGTTCTTTTATTAGCAGGAAGCTGGATTAAAAGTATTTTTAAGATAGTAGCAAAATGAAAAACAACAGTTTGGAAGCAAGTTTTAGTCAAAGTAGCTAGATAAAGTTTTTGAGTTTTCTTTGCTGAAGATTTTTGTTAGTGTCGTTTCAGATGGGGAAGAAGTATAGTTTCTGATTAGTTGTAGATTTAGTAGAAAAATATCGCTTCTCGGCCTTTTGGCTAAGATCAAGTGTAGAAAAATCTAAGCTCGGATATGGTAAGTTTTGAAAGGTGATCACCGTAAGCCTATGAATGGTAACATTGCCTCTGCTAGAAGCTCCATGTAGTGTGCAGAAGCCTCGGTGGTTCCAGCTATACTTACCATGGAAGGAAGGGAAAGTAAATGACAGATAAATGCAAAGCAAAATGTTGAGGATAAGATCAGGAACGTAACATGGCAAAAAATAATGGTGGGCCCAATGCGATAGCCTAGCTGCTAAAGTCCTTGCCTTGAACGCGCTGGGATCCCATATGAGTGCCGGTTCTAATCCCGGCAACTCTGCTTTCCATCCAGCTCCCTGCTTATGGTCTGGGAAAAGCAGTCGAGGACTGCTCAAAGTTTTGGGACCCTGCATCTGCATGGGAGACCCAGAAGAAACTTTGTTCCTGGCTTCGGATTGGCTCTGTTCCAGCCATTGCAGTCACTTGGGGAGTGAACCATCAGATGGAAAATCTTCCTCTCTGTCTCGCCTTCTCTCTGTACATCTGCCTTTCCAATAAAAATAAATTTTCTAAAACAGATAATGATAAAATTATTTTACTAAAAGATGAGTGGGGAAAACACCCACCCAAAAGCAAAGGCCATGCCTCCTTATGGTGTACAGCAGGTTCCTGCTGAGGAGTCCCAGCCCCTTGTGCTGTCGAGCATGTTAATGATGACTGCCTGAAGACAGCTGAAGTCACAGTGAAATGTGATGACAAGCATCCCAGGCATTATCAGGACCACTTGCTGATAATCCTCATTTATAGAATAGTAAATGTAGAAGGGACAAGCACTAAGTCAGGAAATCCATCATTGGTTAAGTGTATAATGGTTTTGTTGAAAATGTAGAGCACTCCATGCATGTGAATCTAGCAAAGAACTGCTGGCCAGAACTCTAGAATAACTGTGTATGTGGAGAGAGATTAGCTGGGGAAGGACAGTCTCCAGGGCAGGACCCTAGGATGCAGCCCAGGAAGGAGTGAGTTCTCCCTGCTGCCAGAGGCTTACGTTCATGTTGAAGGTCATCTGATTTCCTCAGAGTCCACGTCTTTCAGTGTTAACTCCAGCTTCTAGAAATACTAGTGACTTCTAGAAAAGTGTGTGACACAGAAGTATTTGGTACAATGGTAAAAATGCTATATTTGCTTATGATTTTGGTAGTAATGGTATATCTTTTGTAAATTAGAGGCTGGTATGCATGATTTTTTTCTTCAGTAAGGTCTTTAACCTGGTCTTTAACCTAGTCTTCGCCTTTGCTGTAAGCGGAAAGAAAGGCTAATCCCGTCTAGAGTGAATGTCGTGGAGACTTGGTGTAAATATTGGTTGGAGATATTTAGTTGGTTGTCTTAAAAAGAAAGCTCTTGCCATAGAAGCACACACCCAAGGAAACCAGATGGAGTCCAGTGATGGTTTGGATGTTGAGAAACCCACTTTCTCTTGTATCTGAATGTCTTCAGGACTTTACAGGTTATGGACTTGATAGTTCCTGGTCCCAGAGGTAGGAAACCTGTATGCATGGGTCACACAGATTCATGAAGTCATTTGGTCTGACCCTGCTAAATCAAATGCAGGTGAGACATGAATTTGAATAAACCTATAGAAGCCTGCATTTTAAGTTGATGATTTTGTAAGGCATGCAGATGATGTTTAAGTCCCAAACAGACCTTGACAGAATAAATGCTCCTGTGCCCTGAGACCTTTTCCTTTCCTCTTTGGGCAAGGGTCTTGGCTTGTTGCTGTGAACAGAGCTGACTTGGAGTTCTTTGTCCACTTGCTGTGAGGCAGTCTGAGCTTTAGCGGGTAGTCTGCACATTCTGCTCTTGGGATTCTCCTCTTGCCTTTGCAGTCCCTGAATTAAGTGGTGTTTAGTACTCCTTTCTGTGTCTTTGATTTGAAGTTTCAGAACTTCTGTTGTGTAGAAGTTGGAATTTATTGTCTGTCCCTCTCTGAATCCTGTCTTGTCTCCATTCCCTCATCTGCTTGCTACATTGACTTTTCCATGCTTCTCTAGTCCCTGTGTTTTAATAGCTCATTGCTTCTCTGCCTTTTCTATTTTCTGCATGTCTTTGTCATTTTTGGACTTTTCCATTCCGAGCCTCTTAGGTGTTCTTGCATGAAAGCTTTCTAGAGAAGTAGCCAGTGAGAGATAGGTGACCACAGATGACATTTTCGTGTTTAGTATTATTTTTGGTGTTGTTTACATAGTGGACAAGGGTGTGTTTGCATGAGGACAGCTCATAGATGACATTTGTTAGGAGGAATTGGCATGGTTGTGAAGGCTGAGAGGTCTCTGCAAGCTCGAGGCCTGGGGAAACCAGTCCTGTGCTTCAGCTTGAATGCAAAGGCCTGAGAAGAGGCGGGCTGCACAGGCCAGTCGGAGCCCACAGGCGGGAGGAGAAGGGGCAGAAAGCCAGCACTGACACACCAGAGGCCCAGCTCATTGACTCTTGTTTACAAAAGGGTGGAGGATTGTTTTCTGTCTACTCCTTTGAAGTGTTTGTTTTGGGCTTCTCCTGCCAGTCTGAATAATTTTGATTGCCTTTTTCTCCATTTGCTGTTTTGCTGTGCTGTCCAGCCCCGATCTGCCCCCTGCCTCATCTAAGTGAAGAAGGACTGGAGGACTCCTTTCTTAGCTTAAGAGCTCCTTCCTGGCTTCTGGAGACTTAGATTTTGTAGCCCTACTTTAGGCCTTCCCTCATCCAACAGCAGGTGTCCTCAGGGCTGGCCCTGCCTTCCTGGGGCTCTGCAGAGCAGGGACTAAGTTGGCAGGCACACTGCTGAACTTTGCACTCCCTTTTGGCTGACTGGTATTGGCCTCCCACTCCTTAGATTTGTCAGACGCCTCCTCTGCCAAGGCTCTAGGACTTCTAATTTGACTAAATTTACATAGCAGGTCTAGAATACGTTATCCTTTACTTACAGTTGTTTTAAATACGGCAAACTGCAATAAAGTGTTGTTTTTTTAAAAAAAAACTTGTGTTACTTGCTGAGTATTAATCACTTTTATTCATGGTGTACCAAGTTGTGGCTTTGTTCTGTATAACTGGGAAGGGAGTTATGTTTTGCTCTTAGCTGCTTTGTTCTTGTATTATTAGCATCCTTTGTATTGATTTTGACCTTCCCCTTTGCATCCAAGCCAAGTGTGGTCCCTTATCTTTGTGTTTCAAGGTGAAATGAAAATGAAGATTTTTCTGATATCAAGAGCCAGGTATCTATTATATGTAGATTTTTCAATTGATAGTAATTGGGAAAGAATGTACTTCCGCTGTTGCTCTGGTAACTTCTAGTAGTATGTTAAACATTTGTTATAAACAGTAAGATAACTTAGTTAAGTGTCTAATGATATGCCTGCTGGAGACATATTGGATGTCGTATGTTGTTAATAAGCCAGCCTCAACTCCTTTTTAAGAAAAACTCAGATATCTAGTTTGTTATTGTTGCTTCAGCCAGAGGAGAATTAGAATGGGTAGAGTTAATTGAATTGAAAGAAATCTGAAAGCTAGGAAACCAATGCCTGATTGTAGGACACACAGGAAGCTCCTGTTGTTGACTTGCCCGTAACTGCTGGTAAAGGGGAAAGCTTCATTGCAGGTGCTCCTGCGGTGGGTGGGAAGGCACCCCTGGCGCCACTGAGCAGCAGTGAGGCTGACTCAGCTGTTGTGGGAGCATGCTAGCCAGTACCATGTTGGCTCTGGATGTGCAGCTCTGGTGAGATAATCCCTTGTGTGTGTGTGTGAATGCAGAAAACACCGGAGCAGCGTGGGGCCGAGCAAGCCTGTTTCCCAGCCCCGTCGGAACATCGTAGGATGCAGGATTCAGCATGGGTGGAAAGAGGGCAATGGCCCTGTCACCCAGTGGAAGGGAACTGTCCTGGACCAGGTGCCTGTGAATCCTTCTTTGTATCTTATAAAATACGATGGATTTGACTGTGTTTATGGACTAGAACTTAATAAAGATGAGAGAGTCTCTGCACTCGAAGTCCTCCCCGATAGAGTTGGTAAGTTTTGTTTTGTTTTGTTTAACTAGTGTGTCTGCTTTAAAAAGTGATATTGAAGTGGTGGATGTGTTTTTGAGTACTTAGTTACAGGTGTTATTTTTATTGGCATGCAAATACTACTGATGAACATTTAAGTCATTCTTGCAAAACCACAAACATTGCTACCAAGCAAATTTTCTGAAACCACAACTCCAGGAACTGTAGGAATCTCTATTCTGCAGCTTCCACCTCTGCTGAAGAAGCGTGCAGTGTAGTGATGTGTAGCATTTTACTCACTGTTACCTGGACAGTGATGGGTAAGATTACTTTACCATTAGTTCATGTCTTGTATGTTGATTTCTCAAAGACCATCTGAAGAACTTTAATGTTGGGATCTTTACATGCAGTGCATGTCTTTGTATATTACATAAATGACCACTGTGCTTTGAGCCAAAATTTAAGCAACCAAAACATGGAGCTTTAGTATTTGCCTTTAATTTCTCAGGATTTGTTTGAACAATGTTTGTGGAAATGAATGTACCTTTTATGTCACACACTACGAGATTTTGTCATAAAAATACTAAGATACGAGGTCGGTGGTGTTAAATAATCACTGATTTTATTTTTAACACAGTGGTGAATGGCCAAGATAATGTAACTTTCTTCAGAGTGTTTCTTTTGAAATGTTTTATTATAGTGTTGTTGCTGTTGTTTAAATACTGATGTATGTTTTTCAGAATGGCCTTTAAAGGTCTGTGCTATTAAAACAGTTTCATCAGATGCAGGGGCAGGGACCAACGCTGTGGCATAGCAGGTAAAGCCAGTACTGACAAGTGTTGGCATCTCATGGGTGCCTATTCCAGCCTCCGCTGCTCCACTTCGAATCCAGCTGCTTGCTGAGCTGCCTGAGAGAGCAGTGGAGGCTTGCCAGGTCCTTGGGTCCCTGCACCCACTGAGAGAATCCTGGAGAAAACCCTGGACTCCTGGCTGCAGCCTGGCACAGTTCCTTTTGTTGCATCCACTCGGGGAGTGAACCAGCAGATGGAAGACCTCTGTCTCCTCTCTTTGTAGCTCTGCCTTTCCAAATAAAGTAAACCTTTTTTAAAGAAAATTGTGAAAGGCAGAAACTAATGTCACTTTCTCTCCTTTCTTCCCCAGTAACTTAACTCTTTCTTAGCAGCAAGATGTTTCATTAATTTTCTCTTCCCATGTTGCATGGTAATCTTTGCTTAATTTTTGTAGATGCAGTTTAGTTTTCACGTTTTTCTCTATTCTCAAGTGTTCGTGCGTGCCTGTCTGTTTTTTGAGATCAATCCATTTCTCAGAAATGTCAGCATGCTAAGATCGTGCAGTACTAGAAACACTATTGGATAAAAAGAATAATATAGGATAATAAAAAAGATGACCCAAATAATGTCATTAGTTTCGCTAAATAGTTCTCATTCCCTCTTCTGACACAGAATTTTAGTTTGTACCCTTTCTAGTGCGAGATCTCTTGGCTCCCTGGAGCACCTCCCTGTATTGTTTGCCGTGGGACCTGAGCTGCTCAGTCCTTCTATGATCGCAGGCTGAAGGGCACACGAATCTGACGTAGTGTTTTCCTGGGCAGTTGTACCATTTTGCAGTCCTGCTAACAATATTCCAGGAGTTCTGATTCTGCATCCTCTTGCATCTCTATGTGCTTTTTGTGGGGAGTAGTGCAGCAATAGGGGCACTTTTATAGGACACTGGCTTTGCAAATAGTAGCTAAACAGGCTGTGCCACAATATGCAGCGCCTATGCCATTCTTGAATTATTATTTATTTAAGTAAGATTTATTTATCATAATGTTAAACAATGATACGCTCAACTAGAAAATTAACATGTTTATTAACAATAAAGGAACTGATTAATGAGTTGAATGGTACACGTGTGTGTTTCTCAAAGATCATCTGTTTACTTACTTGAAAGCTGCAGTTAGAGGGAGGTTCGTATCTGAATGCCCACCAAGCCTAGGGCCAAATCAAGAGTTTTCTTTTAGTCGTTACATGTGGGTGGCAGAGGCCCACACATAGGGGCCACCCTCTACTGCCTTTTACAGACCATTGATAGGGACTGGATTGAAAGAGGAGCACAGGGCCCGCCTAGCAGCTAAAGTCCTCACCTTGAACACGCCGGGATCCCAGATGGGTGCTGGTTCTAATCCCAGCAGTCATCCAGCTCCCTTCTAGTGGCCTGGAAAAGGCACAGCCTAGGGACCCTGCACCCTCGTGTTTCCTCTGTCTCTCCTCTCTGTATATCTGACTTTGCAATAAAAAGTAAATCCCAGCCCCAATAATAAATAACCTAAAAAAAATAGTGGAGTATATACCCCCCTGTGGGATGTTCGCAGTAGCTTTACGCTCTTCACCACAGTGCCAGCCCCTGAAAGTTAAGAGTTAGAGAAATCCGTACAGATGCTGGTGCTGGTGCCATGTGTAATAGGTTAAACCTCTGTCTTCAGTGCCGGCATCGCTGGTTCAAGTTCTGGCAGGTCCATTTTTGATCCAGGTCCCTGCTACTGCAATAGCCTGAGAAAGCAGCAGAAGGTGGCCCTGGTCTTGGGTTCTCGTTGCACGTGGGAGTGAGTCACAAGTGGAACGACTGGGACTGGAGCTGATGCCCCCTGTGGACGCTGCTGTTGCTCCCAGTGGATTAGCCCACCAGGCCAGAGCACCAAACCCTAAAATCTACTTTTTGAAGAATTCTAGAATGGGGCTATCATCAGGGAGGCGGGACATCTCAACAGCATGAACCATCTGGTTAGGTCAGTGGCACATACTGAATTGTGTGACATAGGAGAGCAAAGGCCTCTCTGGTGTCACAGCCATATGAGCAATAAACAGTTAACAGATGCATAAAGTCAAGGGAAGGTAGATAAGGGTGACTACTGATAAGAAATAAAAATGGCTACCCTGCCAGCATGCGTCACACTTCTTCCAACGTCATAGACCTCTAAGGGACTGAGCTGTGAGGGGAACCAGGCTCCTGGAGGAGTGGAAAGCAGGTGCAGGCACAGGAGCATCAGCCGGCCTGGAAGGGGGGTGGGCTCGTCCGAGAGGAGGAAAGTGGTGAGCTGGGGGCAGGATACAAGGCTGCACAGCTGCATTTTTTCCTCCCAAGGACAGTACTGGAGAGAAGTAGACACACAGAGAGCTGCTCGCTGGCTCACTTCCCAAATGAGTTCAATGGCCAGAGCTGTGCTGATTCAAGCTAGGAGCTTCTTCTGGATCTCCCATGTGGGTTCAGGACCAAAGGAATTGAGCCATCATCTGCTGCTTTCCAAGGCTAGATTGGAAGTAGAGGAGCCGGGATGTGAACTGGCATCCATATGGGATGGCAGCCTGGAAGCTGGAGGTTCCTCTTCCCATGCCGCAGCACCAGCCCCAGGGCTGCATTTGATTGTTTTTCAGGTCATGGAAAGGAAAGGCACTAAATGTAAGGACAAGAGCAGAACCCAGTGCCTCAGCAGAAACGGAATTGAGTTGATGGAATGTGAACACCAGTTTCCTTAAAGCAACAACATAACTTATGCATTAATTGGGGTAAATTTCTTAGTTTTAATTAGTGCTCTGTGGTCATGTGGTATGTTAATGGAAAGAAAAGCAAACGGAAACTGATGTGGCGACTCTTCTCGAAGTCCGAACTGTCCATTCTGTGCTTGAATGCATAGTGGGAGGTTCTTGGTTAGGTATAGCACCAAGAGCACATGGAGCCAAAAAATATATAAACAGGAAAAACTGAAGTTGTTTCACTTGACTTGAGATAAAAATTCTTTCTTTGGAATCCAGCTCTGGGCTGGGGTCCAACAATTTGTGTTTAACGGTTATACTTAAAGCCTTGCTGATGACTCTTGTTCATTGATGCATTTGCGTGGACAGGACATGTAATTTTTTTTTTTTTAATAAATTCAGTCTTTTTAGTAAGTAACGGTGAAATACTGCCAACTTTGCCACCTTTTCTTTTATTTCCAGCCACCTCTCGAATCAGTGACGCACACTTAGCAGACACGATGATTGGCAAAGCAGTGGAGCACATGTTTGAGACGGAGGACGGCTCTAAGGATGAGTGGCGGGGGATGGTCCTGGCGCGGGCACCGGTCATGAACACTTGGTTTTACATCACCTATGAGAAAGACCCCGTCTTGTACATGTACCAGCTCCTGGACGATTACAAAGAAGGCGACCTTCGCATCATGCCCGATTCCAGTAAGTAGACACTAACATTTATGTTTGCTTAGCAAAAAGAAATCTTGAACAATTAGTGTATTATTTTGCAGGTATATTTTAAAAATTTGGGAGTGTGATAATCCTTTAGTCATTCCATCTGGGTTGTGAAAGTTTTCCACTCTCTTGTTGTAAGTTCTAGGGAAATTATTAGATGATTAGCTTTGCTTAGCTCCTGTAACAAAAATAAAGGCTACTTAGCATTTACTAGCACTATGTATTATTATTAAGGTTTTTTAAAAAGATTTATTTATTTATTTATTTTTATTAGAAAGTCAGATACACAGAGAGGAGGATAGATAGAGGGACAGAAAGATCTTTTGTCTACTGGCTCACTCCAAAGTGGCTGCTATGGCCGGAACTGAGCCGATCTAAAGCCAGGGGCCTCTTCCAGATCTCCCACACAGGTGCGGGGTCCCAAAGACTTGGGCCGTCCTTGACTGCTTTCCCAGGCCACAGGCAGGGAGCTGGATGGAAGTGGAGCTGCCAGGACATGAACTGGCACCCATATGGGATCCTGGAGCATGCAAGGGGAGGACTTAGCCACTAGGCTTCCAGTGCTAGACCTTATGTTGTTCAAAAATATGAAGGTTTGAGGACTAGTATAATAATTCTCCATGTGTTTACTGCTTAGCTTTAATAGCTGCTATTTCATTACCAGTCTGTTTTATCGGCTCTTATTTTGAAGCTAACCCTAGAATTGTATGATTTTATCTAAATGTTTGACCTTTGGAGAATACTGATTTCAGAAAGCAGTTTGGGAACCTTGCAGTGGCAACTAGATTATAAGGTCAAAATTTCAACTATTTAGCTGTTTTCACAGGTAATGGGATAGTTTTATAACTTCATCTCTTTTCTACATGTCAGTCTTTGATAGGTTTTGACGTAGGAGCCCCAGCTTCTTTCATTTCTATGTCAGGATGACCTCTTGTCTGCTCTTTGTTGAAAAGAGTTACTCTTTTGCCATTGATGTTTTAATACCTTTGTAGAAAAACCAGTTGGCATTGGATGTACGAGTTTATTACTGATTGTTAGTTCTGTTTGATTTGTCTGCATGTCTGTGGTACTGGGGCCACGCTGCCTTAAGTATATTACTTTGTAGTAAGTTTCGAGGTCTGAAGGTTGGAGTTTATTTTCAGAATTCTTTGGATCATTTCAAGTTCCTTCCAGTTTCTACAAAGAAATCACCTGGCCTCCTTGGGGAAAATTGCATTGAATCTTTAGATAAGTTTGAAGAGAAATACCATGTGAAGAGGCCAGTGCTGTGACATAGTGGGTGATGGCAGCACCTGCAGTACTTGGGCCCTCGTACCCATGTAGGTTATTCAGAACCTGCTGGCTTCGGACAGGGCCAGCCCCAAGCGTTACAAACATGTGGGGTGAAAACTCTTGTGTGTGCCTGCCCTCATACATGCCCTCTCATACATGCCCTCTCTCCCCACGCCTTTCCTCTTTCTTTATGTAACTACATTACAAATAATGAAATAATGAATTACATTACAAATAATGAATAAATGAAGATGCAGGAAATGGTGTCTTTAGTTGCCAACAAGTCTTTTTTTTTTTTTTTTTTTTTAGTAGTTTTTAAAATTTCTATTAGGCAAATTTACAGAGAGAGAGAGAGAAATCTTCTGTTCAATGGTTTACTCCCCAGTTGGCTGAGTGGCCAGAGCTGAGCTAAGCTGGTCAGGAGCAGGAGCCAGGAGCCAGGAGCCAGGAGCTTCTTCCAGATCTCCTGTGAGAGTGCAGCTGTCCTCTGCTGCCTTCCCAGACCGTTAGGGAGCTGTGTCAGAAGTGAAGCAATGAGGACATAAACCGGCCACCCGTATGGGACACTGATGCTTGCAGGCAGAGTATGAGCCAGTGGAGCCATTGCACTGGTTCCAGTGCTACACAGTCTAGCAGTCTTCATCCACGAACCTTGGCTGTTTTTCTGTTTAATGAGAACTTTAATCTTCAGTGAGGTCACCTGTACCAACAAGAAAAAGTTGTGTATTATTCAAAATCTGTAAGGAATTATTTTGATTGGTATCTTCCTTCTGCTGGTTCACTCCCCAAATGGCTGCAGTGTCCAGTACGGGGCCAGTTTGAAGCCAGGAGCCAGTATAATGGGTGCAGGAAGCCCAAGGTCCTGGACCATCCTTCTGCTGTTTTCCCAGGCACGTTAGCAGAGAGGTAGATTCAAATTGGACAACTGGAATTCCAATAGATCATCCATATGGAATGCCAGTTCTGCCAAAAGCAACTTAATTTATTTGGTACGCCATTCACTGCTTTTAGAGTATGAGGTATTCCTTTTGTTTTAAAACTAGAGTAGAAAGATTACATGGAATCCATTGACACTGAGAGGCAAATACCTTAAGAATTTCTAGAATACAGGCTGGCCCAGTAGTATAGCAAGTTAGCCTTCCACTTGCCATACTGGCATCTCATATAGGCACTGGTGCAAGTCCTGGATTCTCCACTTCTGATCCAGTCCCCTGCTGGTGGCCTGGAAAAGCAGCAGAGTATGGCCCAAGGCTTTGGGTCCCTACACCCCTGTGGGAGACTTGTAAGAAGCCCCTGCTCACGACTGCCTGGCCCAGCCGTTAACTATTTTGGCTGTTGGGGTAGTGAACCAGCAGATGGACAATATCCCTTTCTGTCTCTCCCTTGTCACTTTCACTGCATTGTAAAATAAATAAATCTTTAAGGATTTGTAGAATTAGACTAGTACAGGTTGATCATCCCTTATCTGTGAAACATAGCATTAGAAATGTTGCATACCTAGGGACTGTTGCGGTGGTATATCAGGCTAATTTTCTACCTGCTAGTACTGGCATCACTGGTTTGTGTCTGGCTGCCTCACAGCTAACCCAGCCATCTGGGAAAGCAGTGGTAGATGGCCAGAGTCTTTAGCCCCCTGCACCCACAGGGGAGACCAGGAAAAAACTCCCAGCTCCCAGTTTTGGATCAGTCCCAATCTCTTTCTCTGGAAAATCTGCCTTTCAAAATAAAATAAATTTTAAAATGTCACAGACACTGTTGTATAGGCTGCATTGGTTGAGCATCCCACGTTTGAAGTCTGAAGTGTCTGGACACTGTCTCTATCAACAGTCAAAGTTTCGAGAGCATTGTTTTGGATTTTCGGATTGGAGAAGCTCAGTGGTCTGTAATACCTGAACATATACAGTGTATAATATACTCTGAGCAGTCGCCATAGGAGTTGTCTGCTTTGGAATTCTAGCTTAAAGTCACTCAAACTTAATCATGAGCCAAAAGAATTTTTGGTATGGGCCCAGTGCAATGGCTCGGTGGCTGAGTTCTCACCTTGCATGTGCCAGGATCCCAAATGGGAGACGGTTCATGTCCTGGCTGTTCCACTTCCCATTCAGCTCCTTGCCTGTGGCCTGGCAAAGCAGTCAAGGATGGACCAAGGTCCTGGGACCCCCTGCACTTGTGTGGGAGACCTGGAAGAGGCTCCTGGCTTCAGCTCAACTAAATTGCAGCCATTGTAGCCACTTAAGGAGTGAACCAGTGGATGGAAGGTCTTTCTGTCTGTCTCTGCAACTTTGGTTTACCAATAAAAAGTTTTTTTAAAGGAAGAATTTTTGGTATGATTTTCAGAATTTTGGGGTGTCCGTGTTATATATTATGGGTCAGCAAGCCTTTTTTTGTAAAATATGCTTTATTGAAACACCACCATACCCACCCCTTTTGTATTTCATCTGAGACAGCTTTTATGTTGCAGCAATAGAGTTGAATACATGGGACGGAGGCTATGGCCCTGAAGTCCTCTTTACTTACTTTCTGACCCTTGCAGACAGTGTAGTAGCTCCTGGTCTAGAAGATTGTAATGGAGTTTAAGTTACTAGATTTTTTCAAATTTCTTTTTCTTTTACTTTGTTCATTGTTGTACATGAATTGCTGTGTATCTAAAAGTTGCTTTTCCCTGCCGCCTTTCATTGCAGATGATTCCCCTCCAGCAGAAAGGGAACCAGGAGAAGTTGTGGACAGCCTGGTAGGCAAACAAGTGGAATATGCCAAAGAAGATGGCTCCAAAAGGACTGGCATGGTCATTCACCAAGTAGAGGCCAAACCATCTGTCTATTTCATCAAGTTTGATGATGATTTCCATATTTATGTCTACGATTTGGTGAAAACATCCTAGATGTCATCATGAACTCTGCCAAATTTGTGGAACTATTAAATGTATAATTTGTAGACATAAAGACTTGATTGCTTTCCAATTTAATGAAAGCTTAAATGTCCCTGCGAACCCACAATCTCTGCCAGCAGAACTGGTTTTGTTCTGAATAGTACAGATTGATGTGAAGACAAAGCTTTTTGTGTAAGGAAAACTCCTCCCTCTTAGAAGAAATCCGTGTGGAGGGGAGTTACAGGCAAGTTTGGTAAAAGTTAAGCTAGCATCGTAGTCATTTAAACCCGTACTTGATCTCAGCCATTTCCTCTTTAATGCTCTTTTTCTGCTGCCACAATGCAAGTATAGTTTGGTATTTTTGTTATTGCCTTTTTTGAGATATATGTATCTATATCTACTTGTCTATATCTTACATCTGTGTGCATACGTATATGATATATATACACACACAGAGATACGAGTGTACACACACACCATTGGCAGTCCTTTCTCTGTGGATTGGGATGGGGGTGATACAATTTTCTCCAGTTTAACAGGAGTGCTTAACCCAAGTCAGTCATATTTATGATATTACTGTTCTTTATTTAAAATTAAATTTGGGCACAGGAAGCACATGAGAAGATGCAGCATATTTTGAAGGAAGTTCAGAGCGCCCTTTCAGTCTGGAGACTTGAAGCGGTTACATCCAAATAGGAGCTCTGTGTGAACAGTTGGTGACCCACCTTAGAATTCACAAACTGGTGAGAAAGCTGGGTAAAAGGCTGCCTTTAGTTGTAAACCTTATACATTTTTGTTTACATTTTAATCATAAGTACTTTTCATTGGGAAAGCCCAGGTCCTTGGTCCACATAGTAGAATTATAAAGCAGGTGTGTTTCGGACAGCACATGTGGTATGTTATTTGTACTAATAAGAAATTTGGAATTTAGATCATGGATTGGAAAGGCAACATCCATCAGTGGCTTGTGTGTATGTGTTAAGTTCATTGGAGAACACAGTACTTTTATATTGGAAATTTAAGTTTTTAAAATGGCTTTGCCTTGTAACGAGTTCTGGGACTTTTTAATTTTTGTCACGATTATTGCTGATATCATTATGGTCAGAGGCCTCTCTCCCCACCCCCAGTTTTCCTCACAAAGAATGATGGACAAATAACAGCTTACTCTCAACACCTTTTGTGGTGGTGTAGTTCTTGCTCCGGGTGTACTGTTACTGTGGAGTGACTTCCTCTGGTGACCCCTGAGGGTTTGCTGGGCAGATTTGTGCCACCTTAGAAGGTCCAGTCACCATGTTTGCTGTGGATGTGAAAGCAGCCCTTACCAGCAGTCCTTGCGTGGTTTGTTCTTGCAAGATCATTTTAAACTGAAACAGAACTGCAAATGTGATTGATTAACCAGTTGAACTGCTGGTCACTTTGTTCTAGAGGAATCCTGGTGGCTTTCCAACCAGGAGAAAGGCCGAATGTGGAACCAGTCTCATTGGACGGTGGAGAATCTTTCTGCACTTTGGGCAGACCCTAAGCGTGCATGCAGAGGTTTGAGTCGGTGTCTGCACGGCCTCTGTTGTGGCTGTTCCTGATCTGAAGAGATGGTGTGCTTTCAAGGCCTTGCTGTGCATGGTTTCCTAGATGCCTGTTAGCCTTCCTGAGGGCTCCTGCCTTTGTTGTTGGATGGAAATCCTTGCTCCCCCTCCTGTCTGTCAGCAGCTGAGCTGCCCTGCCCAAAGGCTTGCCCGCAGGCGAGCAGGGCCAAGCTTCTCACTGTGTTGTGGTCCCCCAGTCCTAGCTGCTGCTCCGGTGTGAACAGTACTGTTCTCAACTCTGCTGTGTGTTTTCCTGTGTGTCAGTCAAGTCTCCAAGGTGACCTGGCTCCTGGAGCCCGCGTTGACATGCGTGACACAGGAGTCGTCCATGTGAAGTAGGCACAGCAGAACATGTCATGGCAACTGTGGGCTGGAAAATAAATTTCAGTTTGAACTACACGAGGGTTGGGTCAATTGAAACATTTCTAGCATTACTTGATGACTTGCATTGTGGTTTTCCTGCAAGTAACCTTAGTGACTTTAATATATCCATGATTTCCCAGTTTCCAGAGGAATGCAGAGGACGGTGATGACATCGATGACTATGATGTCGGTCATTGTTCGGTTTATTGCCTTTAAGTCTGAGGAAAGGGGAAAGGATTTTATTATTTCTCCTTCCTGCGCGCCCCCCCCTTTTTTTCTTTCTTTCTTTCTTTTTTTTTTTTTTTTTTGGTGGCCACACCACTCTTAATGACGCTGTGACTAATTCTGCCCCCTCACCTGTGTAACTTGGGCTTCATTTTAGGCTCATGTTTCAGATCTGCATGCATTGCTTGCATTTTTCTGGTATCTGAATGTTAATTCCTTGTTCTAGGAATTCAACATTAAGCTCCAAAATTACCATGGGACTTGTGACAACACAAGACATGAATCTATGTATAAAATTTATTGGCCTTTCTCATTTTACCTGCTCTAGTATTATTGTATTTGTGTGTGTGTGTGTGCGTGCGCGTGTGTGTGTGCGTGCGTGTATGTGTGTGTGTGGTGTCAGGCTGCCACGTAAAACTCCGAGACAAACCTTGAACGCAGACCATCCTTTTTTGCATGCTCTATTCTAAGTAGGATGTTCAGTGTAACTAACTAAAAATTGCATGGTAAAGATATTTAGGTTTTTTTTGTTTTCTTTCTTTTTTATTTTCTTTGAGTTTCCTGTATATTTGCTTACTGTGCTGTTGTAGTGGTCGTAGGATACAAATGCACTGGTGAAGCCAATGTAGTGCCGACAGAAGGTGATTTTCCAATTGTGTATGTCATGCAGCATTTGAAGGGACTGTGCATTCTTTAAAAACCACAGTTACTTCTCACCCAGATTTCCTTTCTTGTTTCATGTGCCAAACCCGGAAGTGCATTGGGACCGAATCTCTGAACACTGTAGACCCGTAAGAAGACTGTTCTGATTGTGACCAATTGTAGTGCCTGAAATCATGCTTCAGCTGATTGTCTTAAAAAAGTTCTCCAAAGACAAAACAGGAGCAATTGTAACACAGTAATTATGGTCGAAATGTCTGTGGTTCCTTGGCAATGCTGCGCTCTTTGTACCTTCCCATCGTTAGTGCAGTGGGAACGAGTGTGCATAGGTCAGAGGTCTTCGTGTTCACATGTTAAAATTAGGTAAATGACCTCATCTTTTGAGCTTGAATTCATTTCTTAATTTTGGTTTTATTTTATACAATGTGTAGACAGCCCCTGTTCTGCATTTAGAAGTATACACAATATACATCTGTTAATTCTGTAAGTAATTTTTATAATTATGATGTAACTCTATCCTATCCTTAAAACATTTAAAAATAAACCCTTTATGTGCAACTTCTGACTGTAAATTTTGTACTCATGAGCAAAACGTGATGTGTTAACCTGCTTCTGAATAAAGTTCCTAAGCCAGGTAAGCTGTGTGCCCACATGTGAACCGTCAGGTGTGCGCAGGGGCAGCAGGAAGGAGTGCTGGAGTGACTTCCGAAGAGAGGGAGCAGTGACTGGCAGCACAGATACGCCAGGCGAGTCTTGTGATTTGACGCTGATGAGGCATTTTTATTTTATCCTAAGATTTTAAACAAAATAATTGTTTTCATTATTAATACTGTTATTTTATACTTTCACATTTACTCTTGATCTGAATGTTGCTTAAAATGCCATTAGTCATAGTTAAATGCCAGTGAGTAAGATTCTGGAATTTAATATATATATATATAGCATGCTAAAGCTAAGGAAATTAAGGTGATAATAATACCTGTGTGTCTCCTGTGTTTTGTCTTTTTGGTAATTTTAAAGATGTTTTGTTTGTTTGTTTGTTTTCCCTATCCACTTTGCTGAAAGACTAGGGTAGGAAAGGCAACCTAGTTGCTTTTACTTGGTGACAAGATGGGTGGAACTCACCTGGCTTCCAGGTTCTTGGTGTTGCAGTGCGTGGTATGTGCTGGGCACTACCTGAACTGAGGGAAGGACTGAGCAGTTGGGAGCCCAGGTGCTCAGCCCTCTTCTGCCTTTCATTGTCTTCTCTCTCTCTGGTATTCGTGGAAGGCATGTGTGGTCCTCCCAGAACAACAAAGCGAGTTCAGTACAGAAGGCTGGCAGAGCTGGTGTTGGTAACAGGTGTTGGAGGCAAGGGCTTTCCTTTTTTTTTTTTTTTTTCTTCCTTGACATGGTGTATGTTTGCAATAATGATAAAAGGTTTGGGCATTAATAAAACATGGGTAAGTGCCTGACGGGTTCCTTGGGACTGTTTTCCATGCATCGTTTCATTTCATCCTCACAGCACTGTCTGGAAGATGCCACTCTTCTCCCTCCTCCAGGGGAGAGGCCCAGAGCTCCTGATGTGTGCTCAGGCTCCAGCTGCCCTGCTGCAAGCTGCTTCAGCAAAGCATGTGAGTTGTCCATATAGTATTTGTAGCTGTTTCATGCATTGAACACAACAAAAAAAGGCTTTCATATTTCCAAATAGCCTAGGAAGAGGTTTTGCTGGGACGTAGGCGTTTGTGTCTATATCCTGAGAATTTGAATCCTAGTTGATTATAGTTTTTGTTTCACCAGAAAAATAAGTCTTTTCTTTTACAGAGAAAGTGTGTCGTGAAATGAGTATCTTACTAAAACCCGAGTTTCTCTTGCTCTTAGTATATAGCCGTATACCTACCTTGCAGTGCAGTCTCTCTGCTCTGCAATTTTCTGCGTCCCAAGATTCAGTGTCAACTGTAGGTTAAGTTCACATGTACAGGCCATTTTTACTTGTTTTTATCCCAAAACAATATATAGTATAGCTATTTTTACACGCCATTCGCCTAGTATTAATATGTGGAAATATACAGAGGGCGTGTGCTAGGTTACAGGCGATGACAGGGACTTGTGAAGAACCAGCCCCCCTCCATCTAGCCCCGTACATGCTGAAGAGCAAACAACTGTAATTGATACATCTGCTGCACAGTGAGTCAAGGTTTTAGGCTGTAGCTTCAGTGAAGTAGGTGAGTCTACATTCCTTCTCTTAGATAACCTAATGTTCCTGGAGAGTCTGAATTTACACTCGGTTGACTGACTGGTTTGGGTAAACCAAGTAGCAGGTGATGTTTGGTTGCTGCTTGGTACATTTGCCAAAAAGTGACTTAGACCTTCTCTTGCTCTCATGCTGTGTGTGAGGACACTGGCTAACAGACAGCAGTGTGGTCCCTATGCTCTGTGGATGATGGCTGACAGAGCCCCTGTCTCCCTTGGTTTCATGTTTGTTTTTTGCATTGGCTGTTCAGTAAGGGGAGCTCTTTGTTTTATCATCCTTTTCATTAATTTCAGTTTATATCCTTCAGGAGAAATAAAAGAATTTTATGTGCCATATGAGCTCCTCAACTCCTTTATGCGATTGGCAGACTTTATGTGTTTACAATTATACATACATGAGATTTGGAAATGTGTGCTCTTATCTTGGAACTGCTGATCAAATTATGATGTTGTAAACAGAAGTCCTTTTCTGAACCTTGATGTTTACCTAAACAACTACTCCAAATTGAATATCAGCATCGTCAATGTCTTCACCTCAGATTGTGAAAAACCAGCTAAGGCTTTTTTTTCCCTTGAACTTGTCTCCTTGGGCCTCATAAGAAATATGCCAGCTACTTACACTGTCTGTCCTTCGCTGGGCACTTGGACCTGCCCAGGCCTTCATGTTTCTGGCCTCCTCAATGACACCTAGTAAGAAGCTAAGCCTGTATTACTTACAGGGACCTGGTTTTAACACAGTGTGGTGTTGAGTTTCATGTAATACTGAGATAAAATAGTTTCATCTAGTGGGTAAATTTCTTGATCTAACCTAAATCTCATTTGCCACATTGGGAAGGACATAATTGTGATCTTTTGCAGAATAGCCCTACAGGCAGGGGACAGAAACATGCCAGCGTGTCTGAAGTATGGAGTCAGTCCTGCCTCTGTTCAGGCCGGTGCTGTGTCTCACAGCCCACGGTATGGAACTCATCAGAAAAGATCAGACCAGTGACGTGAAACTAGGCATTGTCTGTGGGCAAGAAACACATCCCATTGCTAGATGGCCGTTAGTTTACTAAAGCCTGTTGGATGCAGCGAGAACTTATCTGAGCCAACAACACTGGTCGTTGGGAGTGCTAATAACACTTTGAAAAGAATAAACACATATGTGATAGACCAAAAAGGTGATTCTGTCATGATCCCCTGGCTCTATCTGAGTAAATATTGCGCTGCAACATTCCTGTCGACATGCCACGGGACCTATCTCCAAATATCTGGAACATTGAATTGAAAGGTAAGTTTATTTATTTATTTATTTATTTATGTTTGGTTGGTTTTGTTTTGTTTTGAAAGAGTTGGAGAGGCAGAGAGATCTTCCATCTCTTGGTTCATTGTCCAGATGGCCCCAATGACTAAAGCTGGACCAGGTTGAAGCCAGCTTCTGGGTTTTCCAAATGGGTAGCAGGGGCCCAGGAATTAGGCCATCTTTTGCTTTTCCAGGCCATTAACAGATTTGAAATTTAAGTGGAGCAGCCAGGCATCAAACTGGAGTCCACAGGAAGTGCTGGCATCCCAGACAGTGGCCCCACCAAAATAACTCAGAAATACCTTTGAACAGTCACGTTCTGAGGGTCCCATGGTTAGAACTTAGTGTTTAATTTGTAGGCAGGACACAGTTCAACTCACAGTGCCTCATTCAGTTGGTTTTTCTTGTTACTTCTGTTGAGGGCATGTGGAGCAGAGGCCATTTGTAGAAGCATTCAAGATCTGTTGGCATATAAAAAGGATGAATAAAAATAGCATTAAAAGGAGCCACATAACCATGTTGTTGTTTCTGGCTAACCCACTGCTCTGGGCAAATTGCTCAGCCGTAAAGGAGGCATGTGCAGCGCAGTAGAAGCTGTGAGCCCGGCCGGACCCAAGCCTGGCCACGAGCCTGTTCTCAGGAAGGGGGCAGGTTGGCTGGTGGGTTTTTGCTATTTGAAATCACACTTTGATACAGTTTCAGTCTTCATATAGCAGCAGTGAGGAAGGTTTTTGGAAGTACAGGAATACTTCCAGTATAACAGATTTGGAGAAGGATGATGGGCTTCAGGGTGACTGGGAAATAGACTGAATTAAACTGCAGAGTGAAGGAACACATGTTTCATTTTGAGTTGCCACAGTGCTTGCAAACACAGATTGCCTGGCCAAGCGCTGTGTGGCCTAGTGGCTAAAGTCCTCACCTTGAATGCACTGGGATCCCATATGATCCCATATGGGCACTGGTTCTAATCCCGGCAGCTCCACTTCCCATCCAGCTCCCTGCTTGTGGCCTGGGAAAGCAGTCGAGGGCGGCCCAAAGCCTTGGGACCCTGCACCTGCGTGGGAGACCTGGAGGAAGTTCCTGGCTCCTGGCTTTGCATCAGCGCAGCACCAGCCATTGCGGTCACTTGTGGAGTGAATCATTGGACAGAAGATCTTCGTCTCTGTCTTTCTTCCTCTCTGTGTATCTGTATATCTGGCTTTGTAATAAAGATAAATAAATCTTTTAAAAAACCCACAGATTGCCTACTTGGTGCCGTGTGACTCAGTGCTGCAGTTCAGTGTCCACTCAGCAGTCAGGTGAGCAGTGACTTCAGCGGCAAGGCCATGTCTAGGATATGCTCGCAGAGAGGGAAGCAGCATTTCTTACAAAGGAGCAGCTGTGCCGGAGAAGTTAGTGTGTATAAACACGCCCACAGTCTTGGTTCTCTCTTCCCATGCAGCAGCTTCAAGTAACACGTACTGAATGCCACCTTTTTTCTTTTTATCCTTTTGAAAGGTTATTAAGTGAGAGGGGAGATCTTTTATCTACCGTTTGACTGCCTAGATGACCACAGCATCTGTGGCTGGGTCAGGTCAAGGCCAGGAGCCAGGAACTCACCATCTCAGATCCTTTTTCACTACTTTCACTGATGTCTTAGCAGGGACCTGTATCAGAAACAGAGCAGGCAGGATTTGAACTGGTGCTAACATGGCATGCCGGCATCACAGGCCATAACTTATGCCATAACATTGACTGCTTTTTCCTTTTTTAAAACATGCTCAGAATTGATCTTTACAAAAGTTTTAAAAGTTGATTGTGTTTTGTGAGAGAAAAATTTCTGTAGGCGTTAGGTTCTCCTCAGTGTTACAACACATCAAGAATTAAATTCTTGGGCCCGGCGCGGTGGCGCAGTGGTTAAGGTCCTCACCTTGCACGCCCGGAATCCCATATGGGCGCCGGTTCTATCCCGCCAGCCCCGCTTCCCTTCCAGCTCCCTGCCTGTGGCCCAGAAAAGCAGTCGAGGACTGCCCAAGGCTTTGGGACCCTGCACCCGCGTGGGAGACCCGGAAGAGGCTCCTGGCTTCGGATCGGCATAGCATCGGCTGTTGTGCTCACTTGGGGAGTGAATCATCGGACGGA